TTGAATCTCCGCGCAGCTGCCGCTTTCTCTCGTAGTGGAAGCGGTTTGTGCAGTTGAAGCCTTGTTTATACTTCCGCCTTTTTATACTTTCTACACAGCAAATCTGGGGTGTATGTATTCCAGAAAGCAGGTTATGTGACATACCCGGGCAGGGGCGGATTGGCCATCTGGCAATTCTGGCAAATGCCAGAGGGCCCGGACCATTTTGTTTAATATGGGCCGGTCAGATTTTTTCTAAATATAAATAAGATTGTTTTTACGGGCCAACAGCACATAGGATGGGTTTTTATCGCTTGCACAATTTCTCTATGGTTATAGTAATAATAATGTTAATAATAAATAAATGTTAAGCATTTTGCCCAGTCGGCCACGGCCGGCTGCCTGGTCCCGAGATGGGCCAACCGAACCGTTCAGTCAAAATCAAGCATGTCATCAGAGAGATTGCAACATGAGCTAATTTTCAGTAAAAGCTAGATAATGGACCGTAAAAAAGGAAAGGCGGTGCAGAAAAACTTTGAGAAAAAAAAAAAGGGCTTAGGTCCGACCCTGCTAAATGCGTAAAATTAACCGAACTCTTTTCAAAAGGTTTAAATTCGGCTGCTGCAGCGGAGGACAGTTAGTGCCGCAGAGGTAAGAAGAAAACAGAAAATACAGCTAGCACAAGTCATTTTCACACTACTTCTGCCAGTTAGCTTGTGTTTTTTTTTGACAGTGTTTAGCCTACATTGGATTAAACAGTTGTAAGCTTAGCATAGAACCCCAGTAGGCCTATATTTTAAAATGTAATTGCGTCGTGATAATTGGTTAACTTAAGTGTTAATGAGCCTGTTACTGAATTGCATGACTGAAATATCAGCAGATAAAGTGGGATTTAGGGTAAAAACTGATGTAGGCTACTTGCAATATAGTACTATAGCCATTTGTAGTGAACTTTACTTTGAATATGTAGATAGTCATATATTAAAATAAAACATTGAGCATGCATACAGTACATAAGTTTACAGTATGCAATTAATCCTTAGGTAGGGTGGACTGCAGAGTCAAGTGTCATGGAGGTAGGAAGACACAATGAGAGAGACATACCCTGATACAGATGCTGCCAGGTAAATGCTTTCCACCATTTTGAATGATATATTACTGTATATGTAATTTGACAATTAGTTACAACAATGGAGTGAAACATTTAAACATACATACTGTAAACAAAACACACTAACAACCAATCAATGTAGCGAGGATTTAAGAGGGTGGAGTTAAAGGATGAATAGGGAAAAATACAGAAGTGTGGAGAGAGTAGGAGAGAGAAGAGACAAAGAAAAAAACATCTCATCGAACCAATTAAGCCAACAAAATAAGAAAGAGTAAATAAGAAAGGTAGGTTGTGTCCTTGCTACATTATTGGTCATTGCAGGCTGGAATTAAAGACAAATCATCATCCTCTTTCTTATTTTAAGTGATCTTCATATCTAGTTGTAGTCCTGCTTAAAAGTGAAATGTTGATGCTTGGATACCTGTTTTTGCTTCTCGGTGAGTATCTCTCACATTTCTTGTACTAATAATAGACAATATTTACTTAGAAAAATCATTTGTTTCTCAAATGCAAACTAACAAGAGGTTTGATCATGAGTACTAACAACTTGCACCAATGGTTAACCATTAAAACATTATCAACCAGTTATACTGTTTTCATGATTGTATAGTAAAATAGTGAAATAAAATTCCTTCCTTTTGAAAATGTTTTTGACGACACCTATCCAATTTTCTGTATTAAAAAAAAGCTACCAAAAACTGAAGAGTGCCTGCCCGAGGAGATACCAGGGATTTTGAATTTTTGCGAGCCCTGCATAATCTCTCTTTCAAATAAGGTTTTAAGTAAATGATTGCTTTGCATGTGGTGATGGGTAACCTCGAGCACAGGTTTGTTTTTGATATTATTATAGGGCCGAATGAAACTAGATGAGAAGATAATGTATAAAAGTATGCATTGGTCTAATACTATCTGACACTGATATGTAAATAATAATGCACAGTTGGTTGGTCAATATAAAAACAATTATGATCAGGAACCTGTTGCATTTCTAAATAAACAAATACATACAATATGAAAATGCAACAAAGACACATACAACACTTCTTTGACATTCAGTCTTGAGTTTAAATATTACAACAGAAATGTTAGTACAGATTTTGTAATAGTTTCTTAACTTTGGTGTGCATATGCCCCTGCCATTCAGATTTTTCATGCTTTCCCATGAAATCATTCCAGATATATAACCATTTGCTCTTTATTGCTGCATCAGGTGCCATTGACATTCACACTACAGCAAATAACCTGCAAGGTATTAAAGTTTATTTAATCTTTAACTGAAATTATCAGAAGGACATATTCTCTAAAGAAACCAATTCAGTACTAATGATTTTACGATAAAGTAATGCTCTTATTTTGTAATACAATGTTTTAAATGCTAATCTCGGGCCATTCCAGTGAGCAAACTTATGTGACACAAAATTTCAAATGCACAAAAAATAAGTTATTTGTATTTCTCTTTCTAGAGAATATTGCAATCAACGGAAAAGCCGTACAGTCATCTACACTCCCCTACGAGGCTAATAAAGCCATTGATAATGCTGATTTGTACTGCACTCACACTGAAACCGAGGCAAACCCATGGTGGAGGCTGGATCTGATGGATCTACAAGTCATTCAAGAAGTGATCGTCACTAACAGGATAGACTGCTGCTTTGAACAAATCAATGGAGCTGAGATTCGCATCGGAAACACTCTGGAGAACAATGGCAACAACAATCCTGTGTAATGACAAATTAGCATTTACTAAAATGCAGAGGCGGACAAAGTACACAACTCCATTACTTGAGTGAAAGTACAAATACTGCTGGTCAAATATTACTCCATTACAAGTAAAAGTTGTAAAGA